CTGATTCAATTCAGCTGGTGAAGTAGAGGATTTTAACAAGAAAGGGGGTATGACTGAAGGGAAATGAGGAGGAATGCTTAACAGAGGGAGCAAAAGGGAATTCTGTCAGAAAGTCTGTACTCCAGGAGCAGGACTAAAGAAAACAAATATCTGGAAGTGTAAAGGAGTGAGTGTACTTTGTGAGGGAGCCCTTAGGGAAGACTATGATGGGGAGTAGAGTCATAGCATGGGCCACAGCAGGAACATCCAGCTCTTGGGCTAAAGCCATGTGCTTTCTTGCTTCACATGAATTTCTATTCTTTTGCATAAAACAGAAGAGCTGTCACAGCCTGGGTGCTGAAAACTACGCTAAAGTGCCTGGTGGTTAAGATATTCTCCAAGACAGGAGACAAGGATTTGGGTTTCTTGAAGCAGAGGCATGAACTGAACATGGATGAGTAACATAAAATGTAAGTTACAGAATAGCTCCCTTTCTAGTAGCTAATAATATTCTGCAGTGGTGTCTAGGTAGTGGGGCATGTACCAAAAAGAAGATACACTTATATTGAACCCTATTGCATCTAAGGCTTTCTGTAAATCTGGGATGTTTTTAAGAACAAAAGCTGAACAAGGATTGCAAATTGAATGAAGCTGCCCAAATACGCACACTGAAAAAAATAAGAGTTCCAAGAGCAGAAAACTCTTTCATTTACCAGGCAAGTGGTTAAGAAAATTTGATAACAGATACCTGAAACTTGGCAATTTTGTACTAGGTGTCAGGCAGATATTTTAAAAGCAGGAATAGTTAAACCATTGGAACAACTTTTAAGTATATAATAGAGAATCAGTCTTGTAAGTCCTTAAATGAACATTGCATTTCTTCATAGGGAGGTAGTTTCTGATTTAGGCAGACTGTAAAACCTAAACATAGGAATCTTGCTGTCAAGTTATATCAGAATACAAAATAGCTAATCATAATGGTTTAGTCAGTTTGCTAAAATGAATTTGTCTCAGCAATGGAAAAGCAAGGGTGATTCCTCCTGTAACTTCCAGTACCATACCACTCCCTGTTGGAAGGTTTGTTTCTGAAAGAAAAAGATCATCAGTGCAGATTATATTGAGACAGCAACAATTTTCAAAACAAAGAAATGAACCTCTATTTACTGTTATACAGTCATAAAATCTCGTTGCATACCACTGCATAATAGATAATCAATTTGGTTGGTGTAAGTTAGAACTAGAGGAATCTTTTCGAGTTTGAAAACCTTTATCAAAGGTTTACTCTAACAGGTAGATAGCAAACACACCCAACTATCAGTTTGTACCTCTCGGCAGACTTGAAGTCATTTTCCCAGTCTATTGCCAGTTTATTTCATTATAGCCCCTTTAAAAAGATGTCATCTCTTTGCTTTCAAGCATAAAGTTTTGGCAGGACATGTGTGTGTGGAGGTGGTAATTCTGAGATACTGGAAGCTTTCCAACAGGATAAGAACAGCATTTTCCGGGCATCCTGCTAACATCAATTCATGGATGCATATAACTTCTTATCATCTCCATTGCAGGCCATGGCTCTCAAAGACACTTCCTGGGCCACTGTTCATATAGATTTGTTTGTTCTGTGCAGAAAGATAGGAGAGAAAAAATTCAGATACTTCACCATTAAAAAGGCTTGGAATAATTAATGTCTGAAATAGTTTGTAGAGAGCATTTCAAAAAAGATTGAAATGCTGGATAAGGAAAAGCATTTTGAAGATTGTGATCAAGTTTCATCTTTGAAGACAGCCAAAAGCAAGAGGACAAGCTTAATGGAAGAGGTTACTCAAGATGACTTGCAATGACTGTTCCTGAATGTGAAAGTAGCAGGTTAATAAAAGGTTCTTCTTCTTTGGATATAGAAACACAGCAACATAATCACGTGGAATTTTAACTTGTCAGTGACTGTGGTGACTTCCCCTCCCATTCAGCCTTTATCAGCGGGGTCTAAGGGGTATCATATGTCAAGTGCAGAGAGGCTGCATGTTCACTGCTTCAAAAAGACCACCTACAAGTCTTAGACTTATTAGAGTACAATACAAGGATCTGATTAAAGCAAAGAGATTTCCTTTGAAATATATGTGCATGCATGTACATATATCACACTCTGCAAATATCTAGTTCCAGCCCTGATATCTACTAAAGGAGGCTGGGTGAGAAGGTTCTTGGAGGGAGATGTGAATTTAATTTTCAAAGCAGCAGTCCAATAGCACAGCCAAGTACCACTTGCAATACAGTGCTATTGTGTAGGTATGCAAAAGTCTTCACAAGGAATTTCCCCAGTGTCAGATACTTAAAAAAAGGCTAAACCACAGAGCATTACCAAGATTTCCAGCGTTTCCTATTAACATCAGTTAGCTAGAAGTATTAGCGATCTGAGTAATTCTTTGAGGCAAAGAGAGCAAAGGACAACTGCAGAGAGTCCTGGAAGGGAAAGCAAATGTAGCAACATACATGTTTCAATAAAACCCCTTCAGGTCATCCATTATGAAGCTTACATATTGCAAGGGTGAAGGAAAAATATCGTGGCATGACTGCACACTGAAAGAAACTGCTCAGAAAACTTCTGACTTTGCCTAAGGTGTACTTGTAAATGCCGCAGGTATTTTTTCTTGTCTGCATGGTTTATCTAACATGTACTGTGGACTTTAATTTTCCATTAGAAATATCTTGGTCATGCATCTGACTTTTGGAAAGCATTAAGATGTTGTCTTCTGCAGAAACAGGGAGATATAAATTGAAGTCCATTAGACTAGAGGGATGAAGAAAAGTAAGAAACTAAAGCTAACCTTGCAGTAGTTTTCCCCACTCATGTAACAAGTTGCCAAGTTATAACAAGCAAAGTGAAAAACTAGTATATCACAAAAGAATTGGGAGAGATTGAATAAATTTTATTTCTTTCATGTGTTGTATTTTTCTAAGAACATATCTAAAAGATCCTTTCTATAATATGCATATCTGTTTCTTCTTGAGTGTCTGCTGTTGAATACAATAGTAAAACAACAACAAAATCCCCACCAAAACAAACCAAAAAAACCCAAATGAGCAACACTTCTCCTTCCTATCCCAAAAGAAAATCCTCTACCTGCTTTTTCAGTTCAAATCTCTGAGACCTTTCTGGCTAGGTACAGAGCAGCAAAAAAACCCACAGCTTCTGCAGCCATTAATGTCTTCTTTTTCTGAGATCCCAAAGACTGGGATAATTACTTCTGCAAGAGGCAAAACAATTTATGGAAGAAAAAAAAAAAAAAAGACAAGACATATTCTCTTATTAAAAATTAAATAGGACTTTCATAATCAGATGCTTCAAATATGCGTGAATAATGACAGCTAGAAACTAGTCTCTGCAGATTGCTCATGAAGTGGGTGTGAAGCTGAAGTCAGGGTAGAAAAAAAAACCAGCACAGTGATAAAAGAGTGCTTTCCTGGAGCTTTTACAAGGTCATTTGGCCCAGACCAGATCAAAGTGAATATTTCTCCAATACTCTGTAACAAGAGGGAGAAAACAGAATTAAAAATTATCTTTTGCAGCAAAAACAAAAATCAAAGTCAACTTATCTAGGATTAAGTCCACTGGAAAAGAAAGTCTCCCTTTTCTTCTGACAGGTTTTAGCTTTTAATTATGTAAAGCCTTCATGAAGGGATTTCTATCTTTTTGTAAATTTAATTCACAAAATGTCCTAATTATCTGCAGACATATTAATAACTCTTTGAACAATATATTAATGTAGCAAGCTGAAATGTGTTTTCAAAACAACAGTAAAACGAGGCTTTAAAAAGTACATCATACATCATTCTTGTACAGTTAATATGTAAAAATATTATTGTAGATATTGTGAAAAACAACACAGAATCCAATGCGTTGAACTCATTCAGCTGCCCACAGTTTATAAAACCTAATAGAATTGTTGGCTGCAAAAGATGACCATTTCTTCCCCTGTGGGGAACTGCCTTTATCTATACATGATTTCTTTAGTGAATTTGAGTTAATTTTTAATAACAATTTTACCTGATAAAACTGAAAAGACAGCTCATGGGAGGCCAAGAATATTATTTAGATACCATCTTCAGAATACAACCCTGCTGCAGAAATACTAAAATAACTGAATATTTTGCAAATTATTTTAGCATTTTTGAAAAAATACTAAAATAAGAGAAAATGAGAAAGAAAGTCACAGAAGAATATCTGCATTTGTAGGAGAAGGGTTGAAAGCAAGGAGGTTTTTAAAGTTTGATTTTTTTAAATTCCTCTTTATAAAATCCTGTCTCTCAAAAAACAGAGTTATGTCCAAGCTATCTCCTAAGGCAAGAATAATCTATGTCAGTACCTAAACTTGCATCAAAAGTCTCCAAGCCTAGAAGTAAAGGCTCTGCACAAATCTTTATATCACAACTGGGAATTAGGGTAGGAAACCCCTTTCAGAAAAGAACATAGGTGCGATGAGCCTTATGAAAAGGTCATTTGAAAACAGAAGGCCTGATTTCTGTGATTCAGTAGTGGTGTTTTACCAACAGCCTCCACTGCACCCCTGCTCATGGGAAATAGCAGTAAGAACGCAGCCCACAACAAAGCCATCCTCCTTCTAGTTAAGACCACTGAAAGTTTTCAGAGTTGCCTCCTGCATTTCCAGCCACATTCCTCAGCTGCCCAGGTTTATCCACTCACAGTCCATGACACAGAGAATGTGGCTGTATTGAGGTTTTAGCTTAAACATCAAGACACCCCCAGCAGATGCCTTCCATGCCATCAGCATTTCCTCTGATTTCTACCCATTCTGCAGTTTTTTAATGAAAGAACGTGTTTCAGAATAGGCATGTGCCATTGCATAGCCCCAAACACAGAGTTAGAAGGCATTTAGTTTACGATCCCCTCTCATATTACTGGCGAATTAAACCACGTAAGCTGTCATAATGAAATGTCAAGTATGAAGTTAAATTAACGCCAGCATTGGTACTAAAAAGAATGAACAATTTCATTATTTTTACCTTTATTCCAAGTACTTTGATTCCTGAATTTAAAAAAAAAAAAAAAAAAAAAAAAAGTTATGTGGAACTATTTTGATTACATAGTGCCCTTTCTTGTCTTTTGAAACTCCACTTAAAATAACAAGTAAACCTTTCTGCAAGATTCTAGTTCTAGCAATAAATATTTCTTCAATTTGAACTCTATGAATAGCAGGAGGTATCACCTCAGGAGATAAACATATCTTGGTTTTGATGGAAAAAATCAATCTAGAAGTGTTCTAAATATCTTCAGATGCCTCAGTCCTTTCTTGATCTCACACAATTTGAAAGAGTGAAAAGATTCTTCCATTCCTCCCTAGGCTCCCACTATTCTCTTTTAGGATGAGGTTTTCAAAGGAAAGAATGATTGAGCTCAAAGTCAAGTCAGGCAGAACACATCCTCATATGCTGTTTGAGTGCCTTGTCAGAGGTAAGTCATTAAACTCAGCTACAGCATGCCTGGTTCCTATATCAGTGCTGATAGTTCTGCTGAGTAGTTTATTTTCTGCCATCCTTCTGCCAGGAAAGACTAGCATATTACTCTCAATAAACAAACCAGTCAACCAACCAACCAACCAACCAACCAACCAGTTTTAGGCAAAAATGTAATAATCTTTCCTACTCAGATTAAATAGACTATCTAGGTTAAAGCTAAGTTAACAAGTTAAAACAAATGTAAGCATTGTGAATTGCACTCTCGAACCTTCTTATATAAATATTCTATTCTCAATATTCCGTTGTTAAATAAAAGCTTTTTCTTTGTGCTAGGAAACCAGCGTTTTCAGTGCAACTTTATCTATCTAAGATTTCATGAAAGTCTGCATTAAAGGTTGATTGTGTATAGAAAACTGTGGTATGCCTTGTACTAGCCTTGTAATTTCAGGAACCTTTGAGCTATGGTTCTTCTTCGCCGTGCCACAGTAAACTTCATGACATGCTCCCTCTCAGATTGGTAGCAAACAGCATAAATCAAATGCTGGTTGAGACTCCAAATAAACATTCCCATGGATCATGCTGCAAGAACTAAACCAAGTGCTAACCCACAAACCATGTTTATTTAAAATAGTTTTATCCATAAATCATGTTTTCTAAAAAAAAAAAAAAAAAAAAATTATCCAGCATCCATCGAGTTCCTGTTCTGCATATGGGAAAGGAAGAGAATGGAGTTTCCTATCACACTGTACCTGTGTATTCAGGGCATAGCTGCTTCCCACAATAAATATCTAGAATTATGCAGCCACTGAAAGAGCAAAGTCAGCATCGAAGACAGTGTTTTTTATTCTTGTGCATGATGCTGGGTGTAATGGGGACATGAAACAGGAAGGTGTAATATGTCATGCTGCCTTCTAGAGTCTGGGTTTACTATAGCTCAGAGAGTTTCAACAAGACTAGTATTTCATTAAAGAAGGGTAGACATATAAATTTCATAAGTTCATGATTTGACCTCTCCCCATTAATAAAATAGACAAAAGGGCCCTTGACAGTGCTCTATTTCCATACAAAAAAAAAATAAACACACACTCTTTTACAGGTTTGCCATGCAGTAGCACTTGGCCTGTGAAAATCCCTCCATACCTAAACATGGGAAAATCTCGTGAGGGAGTGAGTATAAAAATATGCAAGTTTTTAAAGTTATTCTTTTGTAAAAATAGAAGTGTTTTAATATTTAAGTAAAACTGATCATTTGAGCCATTAAAATGAACAGATACTGTCTCTGTCAAAGGTCCCAGCTGAGTAAGGACCAAATCTTATTGATTAAACATTGATGTTGAAATGACAACTGGTTTTTTTTTACCCTCCTAACCTAAAAGGTTTATCATTATGTTAGAGTAATGGCAGTGCAAAGAACATGAAAACTTTTTTTATAGCATACAACAAGACTTGATGGTCTCTCAAGGGTGCTCAGAGACAGAAGTGGAAATTAATTAATTTGTCTTCCCTTTAAAAAAGGAAACCACACAACCAACCAGAGAGCACCCTGGAATTTATAACCAAAAAGGGAGAAAAGATTACTTTCATGAGGATCCTTCTTGAAATAACATCTTATAAATATTCCCAATAAAACACAAGTTGTCTGGAGGGCAGATGAATTAATGAAAACTGGCTTCCTATCTATTAGGGGACAATTTGGCAATGCAACTGTTCTCCCCCTGCCCAGACACACACAATAATTTCACCTTGCCCCTCTCCTCTCCATGTCCCCTGTGATATCTATGTCCCCTTTTGCACTCCCTAGCCCCCAGGAAAACAAGGCAGAGCTGCAACTGCCCTGGAACTCTGCCCATGCTGATCAGCTGGAGAGCTGCAGCCAAACGATGCACAGAGTGCCCAGGTCCTTCCTACCACCCCTCAGAGCAGGGCACTGTTTTGGGGTCTCTCATCATCCAACCGTTGCTTTTCACAAAATGCACAGAAGCTTAATTATCTTTGAGACTTATATGCCCTTTCAAATTTAGCTAAGGTTGGCCAGCAAGTTGAAAACCTTAGTACATGTAGACAGACAGCACAATCATAGAAACTTAATTTCCTTAGGAAACCAGGCTAATAGAAATAATAGTGAAAAATACAGCAGGTGTATCAACAACATGGTGCAATGTTCAGTTTCTGTTAAGTGTGAAGCTATTGTGACTGTGAAGAATTCAAACAGGAAAAAAAGCAGCAGGAAAGAGAACAAATATTTCCTCTTCGCTGCCACTGCACAGGGGAGCAGGCTCAAAAGTTACCTGCAGGTCTTAACTTTGGGAACATTTCTATTTTCTTTTAATTTTAGCATATAGTCTGACCTGCTTTAGTTAGCTCCCTTGTAATGTAAAGCACCATGCTGCAGACTACATGACTTGTAAGCCTCACCTGGAGTTCAGTTCTTTTTGCTTAAAATCCCAAGGGAAGGGAGAAGAATTTTGGTATAATCAAAGACACTGAGGTTGCAGCCTCCAACCTGTCTTTTGAGAGATGTTTTTCTTTCTTGCTCTTATTACTAATTTTTAATTCCATTCTGAGATGACATATTCTTTCACAGTTCATTCTTTCCCTGCTTTGTTCAGTCTTTGAAACTCACATCATAGCATAAAGGAAAAATGGATAATCTAGCATTACCCAACAGAAGGCAGGCTCCTTGGGACCCATTAAGTAAACATCAGAGTAGGAAATTTATCATTTCTACATGCAGTGTTTTATTGCATTTATGTTAATGCATTCTTTGAATATATATTTATTTATTAAAAAATCATAGATTGGCTGTGTACATCATAAAGTCATCTGTTGTTAAAATTGTGCCTGGGCTGAGTGCACTCATTTGGCGGTACCAACACCTGCCCTGTGGAAAAGGACATATGGTGTCTGGCTAAAGGCAAAAGCCCGCTTCTTCTGCAGACAGTGGCAAGGTTTTCAGTGGTGACAAGAAGCGTGTTGATGGAGATGCTCAAGTTTAGATATTGGGGATATCAGCTGTGTCCTTCATTTTCTTTTGAGTCTATCAGAAAACAGTTTACAAATTGGGATAAAGGACACAAAGAGAAATAAAAATAATAATTTCTGCCCTTGCTGCCTTTGACAACCAGGCCCCATCCATCGGACTTTACTTTTTGCCCCTTACTAGGTATCAGTCGGCTCTGCCCTCTGAAGTCTCCAATTCTGCTTTCTGCAAACATACCATCCTTCAGGAGATGGTTCAGGCCTGCCATACAGAGTACTCTCTTACTCGTACCCTTTTACTAGCCTGGACAATCTGTAGTTTGGTTTCCAAGAACTCCTGGATTGCCTGGCATGTGACACAGGCCTTGTCAGTAAAGCCTCTAACAACTGGTTCTCCAAGCAGCTGCCTGAAGACCTTATGAGAGATTGAGATGGCAGGTCCTACATCCTCTCAGCAAGACCAAGAGAACTGCTATGCACAAAGGTGCCCTTAGTCCAAGGTTCCCTCTGCCATGACCCAGGGTTTGCCCAAAGCTTGTAGTAATTAAGACATCCTTTTTCTACTTTTAGTATATAGAAAACTCCAGCAGCAAGAATATCTGCTTCTTAATTATGCCTTGACTTTGTAGATACTTGAACCTAAGTCTTCCTGGCATTCATCTGCCAACACACTGTCACCAGACAGTTGAACTAATCCAATTCAAGCTTTTCTGGTTTCAGCTAAACATCTTTCTCTACACTGGCACATTCACTAAATTCTCTTAGACTCTCATCTTTTTGCTGCTCAGTCTTTGTAAATCTTCTATTTCTGCCCTTGGGACCTCTCAGCAATGGAATTTCAACCTAATGGAAATTTCCATTATGGGAATTGTACTTTTTTTTTTTTTTTTTTTTTTTTTTTTTTTTTTTTTTTTAAATTTTTACACTAAAGAATGCAACTCTAAATAACAGTTACATTAATGTCTCATTAGGATAGCTGAAAACATTAATGGATGCTTAATAGGCTATAGTTAAGATACATTTTCTTCAAAGTATCCTTACAAATACTATGTATTTTAAATTGGATGCAGTTGTGTCTTCTTTGTCATAATTTTATATGGGTGAAAAATTAATAACTGTACCTTTCATGGGAATTTTCCCCTCCCACTTCAATATCATATTAAAATGTTTACAGTATTTCCAAATATCTTTCATTTAAAGACTTTTAAAAAATCTCTTATGATTCTGCTGTCCTTGTTCTGAACCTAAGGAAGTACCCTGGATGCATGCAAAGCCACTGAGTTCTGCTGCAAGAGCAGTTGATTGTCCCTCCTCCCATTGGAACAGCTTATATTTAAGACAGGGTTTCTTCTTAAAGCTATTGCAGGCAGCCAGCTAGGACTGTAAAGTTCTGTCAGTCAGGCTAAACACATGCAGACACATAATAGTATCTGGGGAAAAAGTCAACTTTTAAACAGTATCATTTATTTCCTGTTCTGTACCCAGAAACTTACCTGGGCATCATTACTGAAGTAGTCCAGACTCTCAGAATGTCCAGGTTGATAGGTGCAATGAGGTTTCATTTTGTTCTGAAGTCGGTCCAGGAAAGCATTATTTACCCTTAAAAAAAGAATAATGATTGAAGGCAACTGAGGGGTTCACAAACTTTTGAAAGTTAACATTCTGTGAGTGGCTTTCCTTATTCTCTGTTCAGTACCCATATTCCTATGTTTTCAAGCCTGTGCTGCATAACCACAGACAGGCATGAGATAGGGTGGATTTAATTTTCAGCTCACTAGGTGCATCCTTATCCTGTGTTCACTTCATTGTGATTAAAAGGCATACCTTGGCTGCTGTGAGAAATGCACCAAAATTCTCCATAGAAAGATGATCTGCATACCACCGCCCACATTATCAGGGAGATTAGCTATTTTGACAATTCATCTGAGGTAGTCTTTCAGCCTTCAGTACACAAGGAGGGTTTCTAGAAGTACTGATTTCCTAACGCCAATGGAAAAAAACACTTAAGCTTGTTACTAATAGAGACAATTTGTGTAGGTGACAACTTTTCTACCATCCAGCGTTGAAATCAACTCTAGCATTTTCTTGTACTCATCCACAAATACAAATACACTTTTCCTCAATCTGTTTTAAGTATTTGCAAACCTTCTGAAAATTGGTTCTTTTTTCTCCCTATTAATGCTTGGGACTGCCACACATGCTTAGACATGACTGCTGTTTTAATGTTTTACAAGCTGTCAATAAGAATTATGGAAAATGCAAGATACTGGATTATTTCTATCTAGGGACATGAGATGGACTGAATCGAAAATCCTTCATTAACTTCTATGGGTAATTATCTCAATATCTTTGCTAGAGAAAAAAAAAAAGAAATGAAAACATTATGGAGAATGGTTGCCTACAGAAGCAATTTTTAAAATATTTCCCTGATGATATAAATAAAGAAACAAATGATGGTTTTATTTTTGAGCCTGAGCATTCTTTACCAGCAGAAAACCATGCTGAGAATAAAGCTGTGCTTCAAGATAATGGAAAGTCAGTTAAGTGACAGAAGTGCAAGATTAGAACTGCTGAGTACAGAGAGGGCACATCAGTGGGGCACAGCCCGGGGCATGAAGCAGTGCAGCTGCAGACGGCCTCGCTGCACTGCAGCTTCTATCTGTATCGATATCAAATCTCATGTTTAGCTCTGCCTGTTAACCTCAGTGACAGTCAACCACAAATGTGTCATGGACAAAGAAGCCCATTCTAAAATAAAATTTTATGAAAGATAGATGGATAGAGAGATAGAGAGATAGAGAGATAGATAGACAGACAGACAGATACATACATACATACTACTGCACTAGTCGTTACACATGAAACTACTAATAGTTTCTACCCTGTGCTGAATCTTATGCCGATAGGATAAATAAAGTGAAAAAGGCACTCTGGGTCATACTGCATTACAGTGAGCAGTTGTAATGATGGATATTAGTGGCTCAATTGAAGGCAAAGTTAAACCAGAGGTGAAGTCGGGGATCTTCATTACAATTGTCTTCTAAAGCATGAACACCTCCAATTTTGAGACTCTTTCCAGACAGGATTGCAATTAAAGTGTATTCTGCCTTTTTGCATCATACCTCCTCTGTTCAATTTGATGTGCTCTTGTTCTGGCTTCCTCTTCCTTCTTTTGTTTAAATTCCATTAATTCAGCCTTTGAATGATAAAAGAAAAAAAAAAACCAAACAAAACAAAAAAACCCAGCAAACTTTTAATTAATATACCTATGTTGCAAACCCAATTAATTCCACATGGTGTTAACTTCAGTTAGAGACATGTGTCATTCCCAGAAATTCTCTCAACAGCCTTTTTTTTTTTTTTTTATGTGACAGCCCTATATTAAAAACTGAGCTAATTTTTCTGTTCAGCATTGTACTGGATGCGTTTTGTTTGTGCCTTAACAAGTGGGGAGTTACAGGATTTAGACATTTACAGTACTGCATTTAAAGGGGTATGCCAGACACCAGTCTAATTCCCCTTGCTCCAACCCCCAGTTTGAATATCTCTGTGGGTCCAAGGGAGAAGACCACTGAAGCCATCTAGCAGGAGCAGACACAGGGTACAAAGGAGACATGCGTTTTGCCTCCTGCTTCTGTGGAGCACGAGGAAAACGGGGGTATATGGCATGGTGTGTCACTTCCAGTTCCCTGGGGCTCTCCCAAGGGTGAGGGAAGGGCAAATGGTACCTGCTGGTACAGTGAAAGCATGTGCAAGCTCCCGGCATTGCAGGAGCCTACCATCCTTACGTTACGTAATATTAAGGGATATAAATGGTGTCAAAGGAAATTCTTTTTGGAGGAGAGTGCTTCTGAAATTTTAGCCATGACTGTGAACGAAACACAGCTTGTATGACTGTTCTGCATGTGTGCTTGTTTGTCAGGCTCTTGCTCTCTGCAATGCACCCAAGAATTGAAGATGCATATTTTTCTGCAAAGAAAATTTGGCTTGCAGGGTGAGGGGGAAGGGATAGGAACAGATCCATCTTTCATATTTTCCATAGCAACTGAGCAGCGGTAGGAATAGGAACTAAAATAAAATGATGCGGTTAGATAAAAGCTTCAATAACTGAATGGAACCACAAAAGTTTAAAAAAAAATCAATTTAAATGGAACATTAAATAAAAACTATGCAATAAATGTATGAAGAAAATCAATAACTGCGAATGTGTTGTGTATCAATATTTGTCTAGCCCTAAAAGAAGAAACAGGATTAAGAAATAAAAAAGCCAACCTTAATTTTCACTGTTTTAAATAACTATTCAACCTGAAAATTAAAACTCAGTATCTGACTTTTCAATATGCTGAGTCCTTACATGGAGTAATGTTCTGAAATATATTGTGTGTATATGATGTGGTGTTCAAAGCGTACTGAAAATTTCTAAATCAAGCAATACATACTAAAACCTATTCTGGGGAAAAAAAAAAAAAAAAAAAAAAAAAAAAAAAAAATATAGCTACACTGTGCTAGGAGGTACGCACAGAACAGAATTCACAATTACTTTAATAAATATTAGTTTGAAGTAGAAATGAGCCAACATATATCTGAGGAACAATTATTGGAGCCTTTAAAATACATATTATTTACGGTAGGTTTGTAAGTAGTGCATTACTCTGCGCAATAGGTAGCAGCAACTGTGAAGGCAAAGAGCACTTGGAACCGTGTACCAGGCAAGAGCAGCCTTAGAAGCAGCCAACACCTTCCTAGAAATCTGTGAAAATCAGTAAAGTCTGAAGATCTACATGAGTCCCTGAAGCCAAACTCAGAAAGTAGGGGCATGCTAAGTCATACCTGTAGTTACTTTCTCTATTGAAGAATCAATGTACCGAATACAACAGCTACCAGCCTTACACCCATCAGAAATGGTTTTCAAATTTTTTTCCTCTCTATAGCTCCTGGGAATAAGCATACATGTCATGGGAAAGCAATTTAAAGCCTCCTTTTTTTCCCCACTCCTTGTTTCCAGCATCCTGGCTGCTAGATTACTATGAAATGAGGACACTTATCCCCAACATTTAAACATAGCCATGAGAGGGGCTGAGTCACTTGTCCAGCTCGTGTAGAAACTCACTGCATGGAATTTGTTGCGCTACAATTCTGCTACTGGGAAAGTAGTTTAACATTAATTTGGATGTTAGTAACAGCAGAGGAATAGTAAGATGCTCAGTGTTTTTGAATGATTTGCTAATATAATTTTCATTATATTAGCAAATATAATATAATATAATTTTCATTATATTAGCCCTCCCCATACCTGCACAGTCAGACCTGGAGCCAAGACAGATAACTTAGCACAGCACCATCACCTTGTGTGGAGGAATTTTATGTGGATATGGTACACAAATCTATGCCAGAGGGACTACAGTGGTTCAGACACACTTCAGGCAATGCATGTAACGTATGCAGAATATGGAGTTCAAACTTGTAGTTATGGCATGCCTGATTTTTAGACAATTCAAAACTCTTCATTTAGGTGGTTAGCAAGGGAACAGAGAGGCATACAGACAACAGCATATATGAGTGCCTCCACATACCCATTTGGGAAGGCAGGGCACAAGGGCCTTGATTCTCTAGAAAGAGATTATTCAGAGTCTGAGATCATCATGAATATCTCAGTAAGATAACTTCTGCCTGAAAGAGAGGATATTGGTTTCCTTAGCCTATGAAATTGGGTGCCATGGTGAAAAAACACTGCACAATTTTTCAAATGGAGTGGCGAACAAGAGCTAGTCATTCAGATGCAAAATAGCCTTGAACCCAGAGGATAACTGTCCAGTCCCTGTCCAAATTTTACATCTTGGCTCATCTCTCACAATATTTGAAAACAGTGACTGAATCACTTTTGCTAAAGAGAAGCTCTGTGCATAGGCTACAAGTAATCAATGTATTTAGTTGGTTTCACAGCATGCAAAAATGATACAATATGGAAAGTGTTAATGTATAATTACCTTCCTCCGTTGATCTTGCTTCATTTCCTCTAATCTTCTGTTTTCATCCTCTCGAAGAGCTTGCTTATAAGTATGGCTTCTTGTCTATTGTTCAGCAGAGAATATTAACATATTGGTGGTGGAGGGGGTTAGGGGGACAAAATCCCAGATCTTATTCCCAAATTGTTATACAGGTAATTAACAAAAGAGAAATGGTTGAATGATTGCAGTTACTTAAAAAACAGATTAGTCTCAAGACTAGAATTTAAACAAGTGGTCTAAAGCCTCTCAGTCATTCGGTTTGTCTGAACATCCATCTGCACAGCACAACCAGGCAGCCACAGCACATGCTATTCCATGTCCCAGTGGCAAGCATAAAGATACCCTGAACAGTCAGAAAACACAATCAGGATATATGATAGTAAGATGGAATATTTTGAGAAGAAAGAAAAGTACTGAGAGTATTACCAAGATAAAGCAGAACAGAGGCCTGCTAACAGAGGGGAATCCAGGATTATTTGTGGAAAGGCATTTGTGGAGGTAGGACAACAGAAGCTGAGAGGTCAAATCTGCTATATTATTTGTGGGGCAGCCAAGAGAACTGAAAATCTGAACTACACCATGAATAATGTATTCAACCGTGTAGTAGGTTTTCATTACAGTAACTAGCCCCGTTTTTCACAATCTGTAGTTGCTAGCAAAGACCCAACCTACCATTAGCATCTTACAGGATCCCTAGGATCTTATACATAGCAACTTACACTGTAAAGTCTTTGAGCGGAGATATAGTGTAGCATGCTAAAAAATGAGGCAGTATAATTTAATACAAGAAGTGTGCAGGTTTGACTTTAGTGTGGAATTTGTCGCAGGTCTACACAATGTTCTCAAAACTTGATATATGCACGCAGAATGACACCATCAAAACATCAGGCACATAATTTGCTAAAAAGACTGAATAGAGAAAGCAATTATTAATAGCTCAATTTTGAGCTGGGAGGAGTTGTTACATGTGTCCAGGGAGACTCATTCTGGGTCCAATATTATTCATTACTCTCTGTAATGGCTTGGAGAATTGTGTGGAGTGTATGTTAATCAAGTTGGAAGACAATAAAAATCTACACAGGATTGGTAACACTTTGAAAGACAAGATTAAATTTAATTATGAGCTTGATTAAATAAGCGGGCCAAAAAAGTCACCAGTGACAGAGTCACTCCAAAGAAGTTAAATTTGTTCATGCACATCAAGTAATATTTGACACTGATATTTGAACAAGGTGTGCTAAATTAATATCACTATCAAGGAAATGATGTGAGCGAGAAAATTTGATCAACATTACATTGTCTCAAACTTTTTTTAGAACATTAATTTTAAAAAAAAACCCAACAACCCACATATATATATATATATATATATATTTGCCCTCCTCTTAGTGTGTATGTCAAGCAGTTCCTAAGCTTATCACACTTCATTATTTCAAATGCATTGCTCCTGAATCTTTTAATTGCTCCACACAAAGGACACAGAGTTTATTTAGATAACAACTCATTGGTTATATGCTTCAGAATCCTCACACAGAGCACAGAGGCTGTGCATATGCCTATAGACTGTACCTCATCCAAGTTGGTGGGGAAGACATGTTGATAACTTCATTGCTGCATTATAAGCAAGTGATGAATTGATTCACAACATTACAGAAATGCTGTCATGCAAAAGACATATAATATCAACTAGTATTAAAGAATAGTACAGATAAACTACATATTTTATCTACTTGGATACTAGTGAAGTCAAAGATGAATTATAGTATGTAATTTGGCATAATTTATTAAGAAACCCCTCAAAAACTGGACCAAGAAAGGCACACAAACGTAGGTGAAGCAGAAGGCAAAGGCTAGAAGTAGCACCTGTACACCTGAAAGAATTCAGTGTTTCTTCAGGCATCCACTCACTTCTGTATAGATATGAAGACACCGCACCAAAATGATGAAATCCAAGTCAGTCCTGGGGACATGAGCTCACTTGTCTTCTCAGTTCAATGTTCACACCATACAATAAGCTGCAGATCTGGGTCTTTCCTACCAAAGAATAAGCTCCCCACTGTTTGGAAAGTTGAATGCCTCAAGAGGGATGTAAAAGTGGTTTTAAGACATCTTTTCTCCCTTCCCATAGTCCTTCATCTTGCTTTTCCACCCAGGACTACAAAAGACAGCCTGAAAGCCATTCTCCTGCAATTGACCTGCATTGCTGAGCAGAAGTTGGATCCTTCAAGCTATATATCTGCTCACATTCATTAAAATTTCTTTACAGTTTTCAGAGACACAAAATGACCTAATGAATCAAAGGAGAAAGGAACCTATTTTCAATATCACTTTCCCTTTTCATGCAATGAAAACCAGGAAGAGATACTAGAGAAGACAGAGCTGTCATATACAGAGTGTTTCCAGCAGTTTCTATAACAGAAGGGTCTTGCACATTTCCACGGCTTTTGAAGAAATATGAAAGTAAACTGTTCCCTCCATTTACTCAACTGTTGGTGTTCAAGGTTGTATACAACAGAGGGCTGCCCAGATCAGACACTTCCAATTTCTGCTGACTAAGGACTACTGCTTGTAACAAGTTTCTGTCCACTTGGTTGTCTGCTGTCTTCCCCCAGGAAGGGAAACCCTTCGATCTCAGGGTTAATATTCCTCACTGCAAGTTTTTACATCAGTAGGAAATCTTGGTTTAGACATGAAGAGACTAATCATATGTGAAAAAGCCTTTTTGAAGCAATTAGAATAATGAAGTTTAAGCAATACTTTATTTCATAGTTACATTGATACTTACCAGTCTCACTTAAACTGTGACAAAGTCCACAAGCAGTCTATGGAATCACTTTTAGGATGTAGTGAGATATAAGCTTCTCTTCTGACTAAATTTTCCATGTAGTAAAGCATCTGCCAGCATGAACTAGTTGAGATTTCATAAACGCTTGCCACCGATGGATGCGTATAGAGGATATTTAAGATTCTGATCTGACCTTAGAATATAAATTTGGCTCTCATTTATCAGAGAGATATCTGTGAGTAATAAAGGCAGTCCCCTACTATGTAGGATACTCTGCTAGTGTGTAAGCGACAATATAGGCCATTTCATTCACCCAGAAAGACTCCTTGCTACTCACTGAATTATGTCTTGGCAACTAAGCTCAATTAGAATATTCTAATATTATAGTATTGACAGCACCTGGAAAGCTGACAGAAAATATAGCACATGCCATAGTTTTGCTTACCCATGCTGTAGATTCTGGGCCACCATTAGCAATCTGACAGGAATCACTCTTTGGCAAACCCAAGTCAAATCTGTTCAATAATTCATTGGTTTTGCTATGAAGAAATCCAATCCAAATAGAATTGTTAGTGCTTCCATAAAAATAAATACAGCTTTTTATTCCACACTTGGATTCTAGCCTAGACATTTTATCATGTGACTGCTGTAAAACATCACAGGTGGAACAAAAGGTTATGGAGACAGACAGAATGAAATGGGACAGAGGATACAGAACCTATACTGTAGATAAGACATTTGTTAGGAGGAATTTTTAAGCACACAATTACTGTCATTTGCATATTTGGGGTCTACAGTGGCTATGTTTTCTTTCCTTATTGTAAAGCTCCTAAAGCACAGACTCACATACCATTGGACTTCATCAGGATCCAACTGCTTCACTGAACTGTTGTAAATCCTACTACTTATTCAATCAGAAAGACTTGGAAACTTTTTGCAGCATTGAAAAAAATGCTTGTCTTCAGTTGAAGAGAAATTACACAACATTGTCATCCCTTATTCTGGAAAGACCTATTTTATTTTTCCAGTTACATCCCTTATAAACCAGAAGTAGCATTGCTTTGCTCACAGTTTCAACCAACTACAGTTAAACAAAGTCACAAGTAACACACAAACAAATGTTAAGAACAGGAGTTTCAGTGTCTCGATCAGGAATCAGTTTCCTAACCTGCAGTCCCAGGCATATCTATTTAAGTCTTTGCTCACTCAAAGGAACAGAGTGAGAGGAAAGAGGCAATTTTATTTCTGTATACAGTTTTGGAAAGCATGAAAGTACGTAAGTGAGAACAGAAAGGGTGCTTCAAGAGGCATTCAACACAAAGGTTTAGTCTGCTAACAGGGCAACCAGCTACCTCTATGGGGGAGAAGATGCCACTACCAGAGAAGGGTATTTAACCTTGAAGAAAAAGCCTTGGCTGCCAAAGAATGATGATGACTAACTGCTGAAACAGACTACCAAGCATGTTTTTATCTTTCACTCCATGATCTGAAATGGTGAGTAGATGCATTCTTTGAAAACATCCTGCTGGCCAGTGGGTATATTGAGAAGTGAGGAAAAAGAACAAGAACCCACAAGTTCTCTCTTCTCTGCTACTCTGCACAATACAAAACCATACTACCACTTCAGGTACAGAGTACTTGCTCAAGCTGTAGCAGGTCATGCTTTTAGAGAGTCAGCATTCCCAGTTTGTTTCCTTTCTTCCATTCCCTCAGCAGTTAACATGGTCCTTAGCCAATACAGAAAGAACCAAGTGAAGCATAAGACTCCCTGATCTACAAATCACCTCTATATCGTTAAATAAATGAATAGTCTTCTTACCCAAGTGTTAAGCACACACATTTTGTCCATGAAAGATGAGCAGTTGGGTGGTGACATAGCACAGAAAAATTTTGGGAATTTGAAGTTTTAAACTGCAGTGTTTCTCTACCCATGCTAAAATTGCTGAAAAAATAAAAACCAAAAAACAAAAAAACCCACCAATTTATTTCTACACCAGAAAGACTAAGAACTCCTACAGAAAGACTGGAATGTATTTGAGAAGATTGAAGCTTTGCAAAGAAATATCTGGCAACTTGGAGGTATACCTGGATGTACTAATTCCTTATGGATGGCAAAAGAACGACATGGAATATGTGGAAGTTCTCATTATTTGCATAAAAATAGGGTGGAGGGTTAAGACACTATATTTCCTGGATCAGGACACCGATAGATGAAAATCTAGCTTAGTTTCAGTATTAGAAAATATGATTACAAGAGTGGAAGCAAATAAAGTTTCTCAGCAAGACTGTGCACTGTCTTTGAATACAGAAAACACACTACTGCACCAAATTAAGTAATAATTAATTGTGTCCCTATGTCAAGAAAGGGACCCAGGTTTCCAAACCTGATTAAAGACAAACTCAGTCAAGTCAGTCATATATGTTAAATCATTGTGTATCATCTCTATGGAAACTCAGCAATGCACCTGGAGTTGCCAAACTGTCAAAATATTGTCTGAATAGTATTTTTCATTATATTAACCTATAGGCATGACAATGCAGAGCATAGCATAAGCCATGCTGCAGGGAAAGGGGAAAGTTGGAGAGATGACAGTTCAATTAATGTTCCAGAGATGAAAGCATTATTTCCAGAAGGAAATCAGCATATCTGAAATGCTGGGGTTTCAACCCCAAGCCCCAAATTAAGGTTGACATATGGGTGATTCCCACAGCCCTTCACAAAGCAGGGGTGAGTTTACCTTTAAGCTTCCTTCCAGGGTGGGTCTGGCCTTGCAGGGAGAGCCATTGGGGAAAGGAGCCCCAGGTGTCTGCATTAAGTAACCAAAGGTCAGGTGTCACACTTGAGGATAAAAGCTGGGACCACTTGCAGGTAGGGGCAGTGTCTGTCTGTGAGGTGGATGCACTGTGCAGAGTTCCCTGTTGGGGAAGGGCCTCCTGCATCCCTGGGACCGGGCTCCGCTCCAGTCAGGTCAGGTCTGGTCTGGTCTTTGTAAACATAGGCTGTGTAGCGATTCAGTATGTGGCTTCCTTCATCTTATGTACTTGGCTTGTTGACTCGCTTCTTTCCTCTCCCTTCTATGGGAGACTGCATTTCACCATTTATTCCACCCGTTGTTGGTCACATGGTGTCATTGTTGGGGTTAGTGGGATTGATGTCAATTATGTATAATCTGACTTGTTTGTACCCCCAGTACTCACCCTTTTATATCAAATACAATTTGGTTATTGGTTCATCTTTGTGCTCACTGTGTCCTTTATGCTAGGCCTAGTAATTGGCAAAACAAAATCAAAGTGTCCATAGATGTTCCACTTTCAGACAGTTGGAGCAACATCTCACTCACTTGCTAAGACTTCAAGATCTAATCAAAGGTGCTAATAAAATGTGTTTCTAAACTAATTAATATTAAGGGAAGAAGAGCATGAGCTGAGGAAATTAATTTGAATACAGCAGCATCCTGATACCCTTCAAAAATAGCTATGCGAAAGGAGATACAAAATTTAGATAAAGTAAGATGATACCCTCCTAACAGGCTGCTAACCTGACCTCTGGCTACCCCTAAGCATCAGGCTGAAGGGAAGAGCCATTTCAAAGCAGTGGTTAGACTGGAGTGATCTTGTGAGGGTATTTTGTCTTTCTTGGTAGTCCTGTATCCCATTACACCATTGGGAACAAACCTTTTGCTCTGCTACCTAAAACAGGCTACTCCCATACTGGTATGTATAATAGCACCAGGCAATGCTCTTACCATGGGAACTCGGTCATCTGTATTGTGGTAACAGTTCCTGGAACAGTTTTGACCAAATATCACTTTCCCAAATAACTCCTGGCTGCTGTCTGGGAATGAATATCAACAAGTAGCTCCCAGCAGGCACTTTGCATGCAACCATCCCATTTTGGGAAGTAAAAAAGTGCTAGCAAGGGAAGCAGGCAGTCTCAGGCCTGTTGGCATCCAAAGTGACAGTGATTGACAGTGTTTAATTTATGACTACAGATGTAGCTGTGGGGGAGTGAAGCACAATGCTGGATTCAGGGGCTGAAAAACTCTTAAGAACTATCATGGGAAAATACCGACTCTGCTGCCAGAATCGTTGAGTAACATACTAGGAGGGGACAATGTGTGACTCTGGAAATCAGTCTACGTTGCAGATGCTTTCTGTGGGTCCTCAGATACATGGCTTTACATTTCACAATCATTCTTCAGGCAGAAACCTTTCTTAAAGGCTGGTACGTAAAACCATATACTTGAAGCTCAACAAATATATGTGAAAAGCAGAAACACGAATTTGCTAGGTGTTCCACTGAGAAAGGTGTCATTCAGGGAATTAGAGTTGGCAGCCTGCACTCACAAGCTATAGATCAGGGAATCCACACACATTTCTTATTGTTTGGGACTAAATGCGTGTGCTGCTCATATTTCCACTGGGGTGAGACAAGGGGGTGGATATAAAAGCCAGAGTGAGCCTGTGTTCCTCTGGCCTAGGTGGCAATTCTCATCATGCTCCAACAGGGTCACCAGACTTGACAGTCAAGAAGCCGAGAGCTCCACAGTTGACTCCAGTTTACAACTGTGGAAGATCTGAAGACCCACAACTGATCTTATTGCAGGATCTGAGGTCTAAAATCCTGTACAGAATAAGGTCTTTAACTATGTGTGTCATTTAGTCTTACCTCAGACCTACAAGGCAAACCTAAAAGCCAGTCCTGAAAAGCATTTATCTTAAGGGACATGAATAAGGATACAGACTCAGGCCCCAACATCTTCCTCCACCTGAGTCGCACAGCATTGTTTGATAAGCTTTTCATATGAGATTGTATTCATCTCAGAACAAAGATGTAAAAAATAATTTTTCTGCCTACACGTAAAGTTCTTGGCTTTAAGTCTGTTTTACAGACTAACACTAAAAATGCATCAATTAAAAAGGCTTCTTGTAGTCTTCATTACTCCTTCCCAATGAAACCAGTGGCAGTTAATTTTTTTTGCTTTAATTGATGGATATTGAAATGCCAGGATACAGAAAAATATACTGGCTTTTATGCTGGTGCTTTTGAATAAGAAGCAGCACAATACTTTTGCATATATAATAAATCTATTTGTTTCTCTAGACAATTTTAAAAAGATAATGGCCACTCTTATCACTACTGAAAACAAGACAGCTTCTGAACTCCTTGTTTTCTCAAGCTTTGAGATCTCTAGCATTATGATTCGGCTCTAATGAACATCCACAAGTATGCCAAGAGCCATTCAAAAACAGTAATAAATAATAAAAATAAAGAATCTCAAGCCAGGTGAATCATTATAGCCATTTCAGAGATGAGACAACATGGGTAGTCGTAGTTGTAAGACAACAGAAATAGCATCTAGTGCTGAATGACAGGGAGATGTCAGCTTCCATATTCAATGCCAATAAGCAGTGCTAAAGTGCTATTTCACCATTTTCTTCCAATTCAGCTGAAAAACTAAGAACACTGCATAATGCATACATAACGTTAGTTTCAAACATCTGCCCAGAAGTTTCATTATGGTTTTTAAACAATAGC